TAGATCTTTGGATTTTTATGCGATGAGTCCCTGATTTTTTATCCTAGAATCGGACCTTGACAGGATAGAGTAGGGTCTCATCGCGTGAGTTCGAACGGAGCCATTTTGGACTCACGTTCGGACGAGGTTGACTTCTAGTTTGTCGATGGCCGTCGGCCGTAAGGGTGTTATTTCAAGATAAGGTCAAAATGTTAAACCCTTTATACTTCGAGCGAGGTCGAATTCTTCGATTGGCGATGACCTTTGGCTGTAGGGGTGTTATTTCGAGCTGGGGTCAAAATGTTAACCCAGTACAATTCGAGAGAGGTCGACTTCTTCGATTGGAGACGGGCTTTGGCCGTAGGGATGTTATTTCGAACTGAGGTCGAAATGTTAAACCCTTTATACTTCGAGCGAGGTCGAATTCTTCGATTGGCGACGGCCTTTGGCCGTAGGGGTGTTATTTCGAGCTGAGGTCGAAATGTTAACCCAGTACAATTCGAGCGAGGTCGAATTCTTTGATTGGCGACGGCCTTTGGTCGTAGGGGTGTTATTTCAAACTGAGGTCGAAATGTTAAACCCTTTATACTTCGAGCTAGGTCGAATTCTTCGGTTGGCGACGACCTTTGGCCGTAAGGGTGTTATTTCGAGCTGAGGTTGAAATGTTAACTAGTACAATTCGAGCGAGGTCGAATTCTTCGATTGGCGACGGCCTTTGGCCGTAGGGGTGTTATTTCGAGCTGAGGTCAAAATGTTAACCCAGTACCATTCGAGCGAGGTCAAATTTTTTGATTGGCGACGGCCTTTGGCCGTAGGGGTGCTATTTTGAGCTGAGGTCGAAATGTTAACCTCAGTACAATTCGAGCGAGGTCGAATTCTTTGATTGGCAATGGCCTTCGTCCGTAGGGGTGTTATTTCGGGCTGAGGTCGAAATGCTAACCCAGTACAATTCGAGCGAGGTCGAATTCTTCGATTGGCGATGGCCTTTGGCCGTAGGGGTGTTATTTCGAGCTGAGGTCGAAATGTTAACCGATTAAAATTCGAGCGAGGTTGAATTCTTCGATTGGTGACGACCTTTGGCCGCAGGGGTGTTATTTCGAGCTGAGGTTGAAATGTTAACCCATTATCTCATTGTGGGTTTTTGGAGCTTTACAGGTTATCGTACTATTTATATATGCATCGAGGTAGTCCCGGCGTGCTCGTTTTGTTTTTGTGGGAGCATGTCGGTTGTTCCCTAGGTGAATCCCAGTTTTGCATAACTTCGTTTGCATTGGAGGACATTATGCGTTCTCTGGGTGAGTCCTAGTTTTGCTTAACTTCGTTTGCATTGGAGAATACTCTGGTGGAGAGTGCGAAATGTTGCTTTATTTCATTCACTGGAGAATGCTATACATGCTCGTTTCATACATATATTGGAGGACTTTTCGTGTATCTAGTCCCTTCATCGTTCGGCCTGGAGAAGCAATCGGTAGGCGGGGCGATGAATTATACTTTGAACTTCGAGACGTCCTATTCGTCGCCTCGCCAAAAGGGCATGACTCGAGGGGCGTCCTCTTTTGAAAGTCGAAGTACTTGATGTGGGTGATATTCCAATCATTTTGTAGTAGTTTTCTTTCCATTGTCTCTAGTTGGAATGATCCTTCGCTTGCTTGCCTGCATGAGCACTTGCGTTCACCTATTTGAACCGATAAAGGAGTGAAGATAAAACAGAATGAAATTTTCTGTTACCTCGGCCTGACGAGTCGGTGAGAGAAAAATTGGCGTTGTAGTGTTACTCGCTCCGCCTGGTGCTCGGATGGCATTTTCGGATTTAGCGGTCGTGCTCGGCTCTGTGTTACTAGTGCCTAGGTTCTGCATGGGTTGGATCCGCCTCATTCGCTGATGGGATGAAATCGAGTCCAGGCCCGATCTCGTCCGATTTGTGCCAATAACAGGAAAAACATGTAATACTTCGTTCGTAGATCATCTAGTGAGTGTGGGAATGTCAAAAAAATAGGGTATGGTGTGCCCTTTCTTTTAGAAGACCGCGCAGCAAGTTGCTTTCCCTTCACGAGGGATGGGAGTACTGGCCCATATGTAGGGTGAAAATAAGGCTGTGGTTGCGCTAGGTGACCGGGATCCTATTTTGAATGTACGCTCGTCGTGTCAAACCTACTGTTACGGGCAAGAAGTGGGTTTTGCATAGATATTGGTTATAACTTCTACTTTAGGTAGCGCATTGACCCCTATTGGTACGGTTGTCTCGAAGGCTTACCTACCGCTCTTTTGAGTGGGTGGTAGCGCCAAAAGATGAGGCCATGACAGCCTGGTAGCGATATTCCGCTGATTCTGGATCTAAAGGGAACTAACAAATTTGGCTAAGAAATCCCCACGGACGGCGCCAAATTGTTTGACCAAAAAGTTTTAAACTCTTTGTTAAACCAATTAATGAATGGAGTAGAGGATAAATCTAAGCCAAAAGTATTTAACTCTAGACCGCGACATATCGAGTATGAAAATCGGGAGAGAATAAACTAATTTAATATTTCTTGAGATAGTTATCTTAAGTTGAATGAGAACGACAAGCTTACATTCGTGACTGGCTTGGGTCATAGTGGTGTTTGAGCAAAAAATAAAAAACCCTTTTTGTCGAACTAATTAATAGTAATATAGAAGGTAAATCTTAGCCAAACATAATTAATCCCAGATCTGAACGTACATAGTGCGAAAGTAGAAGCAGAATAAGAGCATGTAATATTTCTTAATGTAATAAAATGTACATCAAACACGGGGGATGAGCTTACATCTGTGACAGATTTGTACCATGATCGTGAGGGCAAGGAAGGGGAAGAAGAGGAGTTGTTGACAACGAAGAGGTTTCTCTTGTTGGCTACCATAGTGGCTGCCTGGAAAAAATCCCCCCTCCTCTGGGTTTAGCCCCTCATATATATATATTAAATTTCCCTTTTGTCCAATGGTCTTTGACCGGCGTACTTTCTGACGACTATACACTTCATTGTTTGCTTGGTCATGACGTTTCCCTATGGCGTAAACCTTTCGACGCTTTGGCACAGGCGATGGCCGAGGTACTCTTTACTACCTCGCCTCGCGGGCATGATTGGCTTGGTCGACCCCTTATCACTTCACTCAAGGACGACCATTCCCAATCAGATTTTGACCCATACTTCATCAGCAGTTTAATATTTTATACTCCTTCCGTTTCAATTTTTGTGTACTGTTTACCGTGAAAATGGTAACAACAATTAAATTTATTAAATGGAACTCTAAAAATACGTGATCTATTCCCGAGCTAATTTGTTAAAGCAGATGATGCTAGTACTGTGAGTTTTAACGATGGGCGAAAGATAAACGAGGTAACGAGCGAACCAAAGGGTCTGTTACCCGGGCGTAGACTTGGTCGGTTTGATACTTCGAGGTCGACCTCAGGGTCGAGCTCGGGTTGACGGGGATATTCGGGCGTAATCTAACAGCTAGAAATACAATCAAACGAAGCTATTTATAACCGAAATTGAGTTTATACGATGGAGAGCGCATATAAAATGAAGAACACGTTTAGAGGCAAAGGATATCGAGGTATCCTTAGTATCAGTGATAACCAATGAGCTTTTGTAAGAAAAGAGAGATAGAGAGATATTATTGCACTTTGTAGAATTGTGGGAGCAACAACAGTTATTTACAAAGTACAGCGAATCCCCTTTATATAGGAGAGGGAACTCGGAATACATGTATATTTAATTCATGAAATACGAAGATGTGACGGCTTGATTCGACACCCCAGCATGGGCTGGGGATAGGCTGGCCCTGTCAGACTCAACCGCATGCTTTGAGGGCTCCCCCTTTTGTCTATATGTCGGCCTCGAATCGGACCTTGACGAGCCCCGAAGGAGAGGGCCAAGTCGTGGCTTCGTGTCCTCGAGGTCTCGAGGTACCTCCCCGAGATGGCTCGATGGCGGGAAATCGGGTCCTCTGATTTCACCGCGTACATGTACGTATTTTCTTTTTAGTCCGTGCCAAAAGAATGGCTCATTTTCTTATTTGGAAATAATTTACCTTTATTCAATTATTTATTGCCACACAATATATATGCATCATTTTATAGGTGGCAACAAGGTTTGTGACTCTTTGATCTATCGGTTGACTCTGTCTTTTTAACATCCTTGATCTTGATTTGTTTCCAGGAGCAGAGATGGAATGAAATAAGCAATCAACCGCAAGTTCAAAAGTCTTTTCTCTTTTCTTAAACTCAGTGTCAGTCAAATGAGTTCACATAATTGAAACGGACGGAGTAATAATTTATTTATTTTTTAGAATTAGTTAACTGATTATATGTAACACTTAATATTTTTCACGTACATTTTATGTGAACTTAATTCACTTGGCATGTAATTTAAGGGAAAAAAATTAATACGCAGTCTTAAACATGCCTTAATATGTGTATGCCTCAAAATGTTATTAAGGAAAAAATATTAAAACTATTGATGCATTTTCTCCAAATGTTAAAAGAAATTATTTGTTAAACAAACTAAAAAAAATTAATGTTACAAGAAGATCAAAGGAAGTAAATAAGCTAATAGAAGTTTAACTCTATCGAAAAAAAAGATATGGAAAAAAGAAATAAAAGAAAGACGCAGTCAAATATAGTTACGGTTTGTTATCTTGCTTACGAGAACCAAGAGAACTAACTTTTAGGGAGTAAGCTATGTTTGGACACATCAAAGTATCTCTTTTTGTAATTGTAATGCATGACGTCATCCCTTTTATCTCACCTTTGTCTCTTGTGCCTGTTGGCTGTCAGGTCACCATCCACGAAACTGAAAGCACCGTGTGAACATCCACGTCATCAACATTGATCACCTGAGACTTGACCGCTTACCGCGCTTACCGTTGCCACATCACCAAATTTTCCCACGTGACAAAACCAGTTCAATCCCGTGTACATAATGTGTTACATATATATGAGCTGGCTTTTCACGTAGACCTTCCCCTTTCCAGTTCCCCCGCCTTATATAAATAACTGTATACCTTTGACTCTCCTAGTATTTCAAATCTCCAAAATCCACCTGAAGATCAAAGGCGAATAATTTCCAATTTTAGTCATGCAGTGGTCAACTAATATTAGAGTTAAACAAGAAGCAACTCACGACAACCATCGCCGCCACCTTCCTCCGCCAGGCCTCACCGCCGAGGAAGAGTTTTCCGTCATGGTTGCAGCCTTAAAGAATGTCATAACAGGAAACACCACCGCAATTCATGCAAATTCAGAGCTCAATTCCTTTGGATGTTTTCAAAATGTTATCTCCACGCCCTCGTTTTCATCTTCGCCTTCTACGAGCATGTCTAGTTTTGAACCTCCTCTCTTACGCGTTATTGATGAACCAGAGCCTTGCAAGTTCTGCGGGATCAAAGGATGTTTGGGCTGTGACTACTTCGGAGCCACAACTACAACTGATAATAAAAACAACAACAACAAGAAGACGAAGAAGATTAGTGTTGTCAAGAAGAAGAAGAAAAATAATTACAGAGGAGTGAGACAGAGGCCATGGGGAAAATGGGCTGCTGAGATTAGAGATCCGAGGAAAGCTGCTAGAGTATGGCTTGGAACATTCCTTACCGAAGAAGAGGCTGCTAGAGCTTATGATAGAGCAGCCATTGAGTTTAGGGGTCCAAGAGCTAAGCTTAATTTCTCATTTTCTGATTACACACTAATTCAAGAACAGAGTACTCCATTTTCTTCCCCGCAGAACCAACAGCCAGAGTCACAGTTTGAGCAAGGAAATGCTGATGTGAAAATGGGAATGAGCAAATTAGACAATGATTTCTGGGATCAGTTAATGGGTGATAACGACATTCAGCGTTGGTTGACAATTATGGATTTCAGCGGCGGCTCTTCTGATTTTGCTGGTGCGAATGTTCTTAGCTTATAAGTTTCAATTTCTCTCTAGGATATTTGAAAAGAAGATGTATTATGATGGTTAGTACCAAGGCCTCTATCAATTGAGTGTAATTATGCAATAGGCGCAACATTAGATTTTCATTAGTTATGCAAAAGATAGGAAAAAATAGTATTAGTAAGCTCCTATGCCCATTTATTTTAGTCAAATATGGGCCTTGTAACGGGGAAATGCGTCAATTTTACGAGGTAGTAGTTTCTGTACATTTGTATTATAAACACCATTGGTATATTTGTTGAATAAAATGCAAAAACACAAAGGTGTTTATCTCAGAAGCTTGGTGCTGGAGAGGATCTGAAAAACAAAAAGGAAACGAGGAATCATAGTTAATGTCGAGTGAAAAAGCCGCGAGCATAATTAAGTAGGCAACTGAGACCACATTTGAAAACTAAAATCATGTCCGATTTGTATACAACTATCCTCACGTGGGGAATTCATCTGGAGTGGTCTCTACTCAATAGTAATTTCTCCATATATTCAGGTACATTTGACCGACATCGGATCAACATGTCAATTTGACATATCACTTAATGAGTAGCATAATATATATACATCGTCAGCGTAAAAGTAATGTTAATAGTAATTTATTAGTGTAACGGTTTACCCTTAAAATTGGTTAACAATTAAATTATAATGTGATTTTAATAATACGTGATTTCACCTGATACCAATTGATAAATGCAGAGAGTAATAATAGAAATTAAAAATAATAAATAAGGCAAATCAGTGCTTGAACAGAATTCATCCCTCGAGCTTGAATACCCTCGAGCTAGTTGTGCAAGAACAGTTAAAATGCAACAAGCTGATGAACAAGAGAGTGTGAACTAAAGAGAGAATATTGTATTGCTTTGATCTGCGTGAATGTAAGGTGTATACAAAATGATTAGAATCCTCTTTATATAGTAGATGAATCCTATTTATGGTACAATTCTAACTACGGAAGTAAATCCCATGATTAGCCTAAACAATCGCCCTTGATTTGATCTATTCCGGGATTTCCGCCGTGATCTTCGACCGGTTACGGATATCTCGCATTTCCGTTATTGCGCGTTGCTCGAAGTCTGTCATATTTGGTCTCGATCGCTGCTGGCCTCGATCTCGATAGGCACCTCGATTCTCGAACTCGATACCTTGTCTTCATGCTCTGGTCTGATTCATTACGAGGCTGACCTTCGATGATATTCCTTGGTCTCTATCAAATAGTAAAATCGGGTAGGCTCGGTTTTAACCGTATACATGTAGTCCCCTCGTTTCTTGGAATGTAATGAGAATAAACGAATTGAGCCTTCGATTTTGTACCTCGATCTGTCATGACATCATCCTCGTGACGTAAGCGACGGAAGTGACCGAAACGTCCCGTCGGTACAGTTCCCAGAATCATTAATGATCGTCAGTTGGTGGTCGGCCACTAGTGCCTTTGAACCGTCGCCGTGAATCCCTTAAATAGGTCTTCTTCTCACTTCCTCAAACTTTACTTTGAATATTTTTTGTACTAATCTTCAGAATCCCTTTGAGTTCTTTAAGTTTATCTGCAAATCTTCAAAGCTCTTTACATCTTTTAAGCCTTTCCGTTCTGCAAAATCTCTAGGCTTCATTATCCACCTTCCTTCAAAACACCACGCCTTATCCTCTTCTTCTTTCTCTAAGCTTACACAAAAATGGCGAAAACGTCAAAAATTGTTCCTCCAAAGGAGAAAGCCTCTTCATCGTGGCCGGCCGGCGACAAAATACTGGTGGAGTCGCGCCCTGAAGAGTGCGTTCCTAAGAAGGGGTGTGTCCTTGATTCCGACTTCAAACTCGAGAAGATTTCGTCGGTCCCCGCTCGGTGCGAGCCTATGTCGAGATATATATGCTTGATAACTGAGAGTGACCTTGAGCAGGTACAGAAAGATTGCCATTGGGATGATAAAGAGGTGGTGATTCCGGCCCCCGAAGAAGACATCACTGCTCATGTGGAAGGATTTCTAAGTGTTTACACTTACCCTTTCACCCTGGGCCCTGTCGATCCTGTCATTATCGATTTTGCCGCCAATATCAAATAACCCTCGGTCAGATCCATCCTTCTTTTTGGCGGATTGTCATTCTGCTCCGATTTTTCGCGAACAAAGCCGAAGGGATGCCTTTCACCCTCGACCATCTCATCAGGTTGTACATCCCCCGTCTCTTTCGAGGCGGGTTAATAAAACTCCAACGTCGGGCCACGAAGGTATTGTTCTCGAGTATAGATGAGGAAAAGGATCGAGGGTGGATGGGAAGGTTCGTTCGAGTGAAGACTCCCGACCTAATCCCGGTAGAGAAAATGCCATTTCCCAAGGAGTGGAAAATGAACCGTAAGTACAATCCTGCCTTTAGCTTCCACATATTGTTTTGTTTCCCTTTGCTTCTTCTTATCGACATTCCTTTCTATGATGTAGCAGTCTCTTGGATGCCCGGTGCAATTCCTGACCTCGAGAGCTGGGTTCGGAAACTGTCTTCGGCTTCCTCGTACGCTGAGTGCTCATGGCCGATTTGGCACAGGGCCGATGGGAGGTCAAAAATCATGGTAAGCCCTTTTTCACATACTTGATGATTCTCGCTAAAATGTTTCTTTTCATACTTACTTGACTCCCTTTCATATAGGCCTTGGAAAAGACGCTATTATAAGGCTCCCGTCTGGGGAGGAGGAGGTTTTACCCCCGGCCCCAAAGCCGATAAAGGATAAGAAGAGAAAAAGGGTCTCGACCTCCGAGACTCCAAAGTCCAAGAAGAGCAAGGCTCGTAAGTCGAAGAAAGATACCGCCATTCTGCCTGCGGATGTAGTTCAGTGACTAAGAGACGAAGAGAGGGAAATGAAGATAATGGCTTCGAGCTGGTGACTCGAACGAAGAGGAGCATCGAGGCCCCAAAGGCCGCTAAGCCAGTGAGGGTCGAAGAGATTCAACCTCGAACCGAGGAGATCTTGGAAGAGGGTCCGAGCAAAGTCCCCGAGTCGTAGGAGGCTGAAGATGCCTCTTGCCGAAATAAGCAATCGGCGGGTGTGCCTGAAGGGGATGGCTTCGAGGCCCTTCAAAATGAAGAGAACGCCCCAAGTGACTTGCTTGGGGCAATAGAAATTGGCGATTCACCGATCCTCTCTACATTTTCTGAGGGGCAAATTCAGGAAGCCAGGCCATGGGGACCCCCGATGTGGAAAGAGCCTACGAAGGGGAGGACCTTTTCCGTGGTTGCTTCACGGGAGTTGAAGATGCTGCCGACCCTAGTGATGAATTGAGTCTCTTTGATGAGGCTCAACGACTTCTGAGTCGGGTAAGCCTTAGCTTCCTTCATCGATATTACGCTTGTATTTATTTCTTTTTGCCTAATTTCCTTTCTTTCTACACAGGCATTGACACTTCTTCGGGAAGCATTTTCTAAATCCCAAGCAGAGCTGAGCCGATGCGAGGCCGATCTTCAAAGGCTCACGGAGGAGAGAAATGCCCTCAAACTTCTCAACGGACGAAAAGAAGATGAGATCAAGGACCTCCGAGCCGAATTGGCCACGGCTCATAAAGAACAGACCGACCTGATTGAGCAGGTAATGAAAATTTTTAGAAGCTCAATGTATTAATTCGGGAATGACGACTAATACTTCGATTCTGCAAGTTTAGCAGAAGGCAGAAAAGATCGAACAGCTCCGTGAGAAGGCCAACATAATGAGGGCGGAGACTTTGGGGTGGAAACAAAACATGGATCATCTTGCCTTGGAGAAAGATACTGCTCGAGCCCAACTGTCATCGACCGAACGTCAGCTCCAAAGTATGAAGGAGGAAATCTTGGCCCGAGCCAAGAAAATTGAGGAGCTCGAGGCTCGATTGGCCGCTGAACTTGCAAAGGTCACATCCTAGGTAGAAAAAGTAAAGGCTGATGCGGAGGCGATCGTGGCCGTCTACTGAGCTGATGCTGAAGCTGCTCAAGCTCGAGCAAAGGAAGTTGCTGACACCGCTCAGAGTCGATCATACTGGGCTGCCGAGCATGGCAAGTACCAATCTCTAAGAGAGACTCTCAAGGAGATTCATGCTCGTGGCTTTAACCTTGTTGTCGAGATCGACAACGACAACGCGAAAGAGCTCGAGGCCGAAGCCAAAGCGTTGCTCTCTTTCGATGCGTAGTGATCTCCGGTGGGATCCTTGTCATATCTAAGTGGGACCACACAAAACAATCCATGTTATTTAAAAGGTATTGAATGAGTTTTTTTCCTGAGCTCGGGAGTTAACCCCGTGCCCAGGTATACCTTTCGATCGGGTAGATGCTCGATCAATATGACTTGTTCCAGCTCTTCAACCGTTGACTTTGTTGCATCGGAATCATCAGGGATTACAAAGGTTCGAGGCATCATATAATCATCATCCTCGAAGGCTTCCTGTTCCTCCGATCGAGCCGAGGCCGGCGACTGTGGTTGCTATTTGGCTTCTTTTTTCCCCTTCGATTTTGATCCCTTTATTGATCACAACGCCGATATCGGTACTACCTCATCGATTGCAAATATTTGCTTGGCGGCGGGTTGTTCACGTACACCATTTTGATTCCTTCTAATGTTGGGAGTTTCAAGTCTTGGTGAAGCGTCGAGGGCACTACTCTCATATTATGAATCCAAGGCCTTCCGAGCAGCGCGTTGTACCTCACGTCGCCTTCGATCACATGGAACTTTGTTTCCTGCATAGTCCCGGCCACATTTACTGGTAGAATGATTTCCACTTTGGTGGTTTCACATGCCATATTGAAGCCGTTAAGTACCCGAGCTGCGGGCACTATCTGATCTTGGAGGCCGAGTTGCTCTATGAACCTTGATCGAATAATATTTGCCGAGCTACCTGGATCAATCAACACACATTTAACTTGACTTTTATTCAAAAGGATAGATATTACCAGTGCATTATTGTGAGGTTGTTCGATCCCCTCTGCATCCTCGTCGTTGAAAGACAAGGTTTCTTCTGGTAAGTAGTCCTGAGTTCGCTTTTCCCTCGTGATCATCACTTTGATGCATTTGAATACCGGTCCTTGAGGGATATCGACCCCACCAACGATCATATGAACAACATACCGTGGCTCTTCCTGTTCATTCTGCCTGTTTGAATCTCTGTTTTTGAAGTGATTCTTGGCCCGATCACTTATGAATTCTCGAAGGTGACCCTCGTTGAATAGACGGGCTACCTCCCCTCTGTTGTCTGTAGTCTTCAGTTCTATGACCATGGTATTTGCACATTTGATTAGGGTTCCTTTGAGCTGGATCGGTCTGTAAGGGTCTGGGCCATCTAGTATCCTTAATCCAACCGATGGCTGATATAATACCTGATGCATCGACGCTAAAGTTGTATTCTGACAGTCGAGGTGCTTCCTTGGACCTGGCGTCCCTATCAAAACCACTTTTTCTCATAAGCCCCCGGGAACTCTGTCCCCAATAATTCCTTCTATTATTCCATACAGGGTTGCGTCCGGGCCCGTTATTTCTTCGATCTCCACTGTATGGCTGGTACCCATCTCTATTTGGTTCCCGATCGACGTCCCTTTTAACTCTATCCACGAGCTTGTTGGGATAAATCAAACCATTTAGAGTTCCCATTTGAACATATTCAACCCTAATCTTCGACTGATACCGATTGTGTACATTGACCCAAGTGACAGCTGGATATTCGATCAAATTTTGCTTCAAATGTTGTGAGGCTATGGAGCTCCGAGCGTTGAGACCTTGTGTAAAAGCTTGAACAGCCCAGTCGTCGGTGACTCGAGGCAAATCCATTCTCTATGTTTGGAACCGAGATACGAATTCCCTGAGCATCTCGTTATCCTTCTGTCTTACCTTGAAGAGGTCTGATTTCCTCGTTGCAACTTTAATGGCTCCAGCGTGGGCTTTCACAAAAGAATCTGCGAGCATAGCAAACGAATTAATAGAGTTAGGTGGTAAGTTATGGTACCATATCATGGCACCCTTCGATAGAGTCTCTCAAAATTTTTTAATTAGAATGGATTCAATCTCATCATCTTCTAAATCATTCTCCTTTATTGTCCATGTTTAAGAAGTGTCTTGCTCATTAGGGTCGGTGGTCTCATTGTATGTAGGGATTTCTGGCATACGGAATTTCTTAGGAATGGGCTTCGGAGCCGCGCTTGGAGGGAAAGGCTTCTATACGAACTTCTTTGAGTCCAAACCCTTTAGAATCGGGGGTGCCCCCGGTATTTGGTTAACCCGTGAGTTGTATGTTTCTGCCTTTTTGTCATTAGACACGATTTTCCTTTCACCCGATTCGATTCGCTTAGTGAGCTCCTCGAGCATCATCATAATGGAGGGATCAGTCCCCGATTCGTTGGCATTTAATTTCTCCGGTACACGTTCGATTCTGTGAACAACTTCCTGTGATGTTCCGAGCTTAATTCTACTTGGTGCTCGATTCTGATTTTCGAATTGCGCTATTGCAGCTTGTTGAGTCTGCAACATTTAGAATATCATGCGAAGGGAAATTCCGCCTTCTCCACCGCTCTGTGCTTTCTGATCGGCTGCTCGGGCATCTCTGCAGACACTATTTCCAGGGTCGACGCCCAGATTTGCATTTAGGGCGACGTGCGAACTGACATCGATGGGGTCTGCGATTGGTACTCCCTTGTGGCCAGCTTGAGGCACTTCGATCCCTAGGGCGGCTACATTATCATTTTCTCCATGGAAACCGAGGTCGTCATTGATGTGAGTGGATACTACTTGTGAGTTAGACATGTGTGACCCTGGAATCAAAAACACTCACAAGAACAAGCGAAAAGTAGTGTGTGTTTTGAGAATTAATACCAGGCAATCACTATTATCCTTAGCCCCACAGTGGGCACCAAACTGTTTACCCTTAAAATTAGATAACAATTAAACTTATAATGTGGTTTTAAGGATACATGATTTCACCTAATACCAATTGATAAATGCAGAGAGTAATGATAGAAATTAACAATAATATAAGGTAAACCAGTGCTTGAACAGAATTCAGCCCTTGAGCTTGAATACCCTCGAGCTATTTGTGCAAGAACAGTTAAAATGCAACAAGCTGATGAACAAAAGAGTGTGAATTAAAGAGAGAATATTGTATTGCTTTGATCTGCGTGAATGAAGGTGTTTACAAAATGATTAGAACCCTCTTTATATAGTAGAGGAATCCTATCTATGGTACAATTCTAATTACGGAAGTAAATTCCATGATTAGCCTAAACAATCGCCCTTGATTTAATCTGCTCCGGGATTTCCGCCGTGATCTTCGACCGGTTACGGATATCTCAGTTTTCCATTATTGCGCTTTGCTCGAAGTCTGTCATATTTGGTCTCGATCGCTGCTGGCCTCGATCTCGACAGGCACCTCGATTCTCGAACTCGATACCTTATATTTGTGCTCCGATTTAATCCATTATGAGGCTGACCATCGATGCAATTCCCAGGTATCGATCAAATAGTAAAATCGGGTAGGCCCGATTTTAACCGTATACTGTAACATCGTTAGATAAGCTATTACTTACTCCCTCTATTCCAGTTTATGTGAACCTATTTTCTTTTTGGTATGTTCCAAAAAGAATGACCCCTTTCTAAATTTGGAAATAATTTAGCTTAAAGTTACAATTCTACCCTTAATGAGAGCTTTTATAATCACACAAATACTCTGGCTCACTTTTTGACTTGTTTAGGATCAAAAGTTTTCATTTTTCTTAAACTCCGTGCCCAGTCAAACAAGTTCATATAAATCAGAATGGAGGGAGTAATATTTAAAAAGTGACAAGGGATAAGCAAGATAAGGTGTGCATGTGATGGTAATGCACATGAGTAGGACGGATATAGGGAGTCAGTCTATTGTTATTATTGTGGTGCATAACACATTCGGATTTGATACTTCATATGTATGCTCTGCTGGCTAGGTCAAGTTAGTTAACCTTTGTTCTCTTGCTGCCACATATTTGACTCTCAAAAGATATCTAGAAGAATTAGTTAGGTCGACCCTACGAGTCTTAATTCACAAAA